ACAAAGTGCCTCTAAGTACCTCTACACGGTATAGCAATTATACCGTTACACTTCTATCTGTAGAAAAGTTATAAAAAGAGAGCCTTTGCCTCTTCTACCCAAGTTAGAGTTCACAATCCTCTCATAGAATCTAGCCCCACCCCTTTACTCTTCTCTACTTATAAAGTGTAATAATTCCTCTCTAGAGTAATTCCTATAGGCAAGGTTATCACCGTGAATTTATTATAAATAAATATTATTATCTATAAACTGTTATTATCTCGAACCGTTTGCTTTCTGCTATGAAGTTAAAGTATACACTTCACGTCCATCCCGTGTATATTTATAAAGTATATTACTGCACTGGGTGACCTTGTTATTTTGCTATATTTATACTAAGAAGGCTATAGCATTGTAACAATAATACACTTAGTGTATTGGTATTGCAAACTGATAAATAGTAATTAATTACATCATATTTAATATAATAACAATAGTGATTAGCAGTATATAAAAAACAATCAACAGATTTTTAGTTAAATTTTTTTCTTTCTTAAAACCTATAAATAAAACAATAGAACTTATTAGTAATAAATACATTATATATTACAAACAATATCAAAAGTAAAATTGATTTAAGAAATGCTGGGGATATTGATAAAAGCAATGTGGTATCAGTTTTCTATTTTCAGGGCTATAAATATATGATAAAATATATTAGTATGGATAAAATCATGAATATTGAAAATAATATAAATAGTAACAGAATCAATACAATTAATAGTGAAATCAACTATCAAACAAACAACAACCTTCACGGGCAACAATATAGCTTTCAATATAGTCACGTGTTAAAATGGAAAGTTTCATCAAATTCAAAGACCTGTTTAGAAAAGACAAACAGGAGATTGATAGCCTATTTCAAGAACTCAAATGGGATACTCTAACTAAGGACCAAAAGATTGCAACATGGCTTGGAATAGATGCAGTAGAAGTCGTAAGCCTCATTAGAAGAACAACTAAAATTTTTGACTGGCTTAGACACAAAGAAGCAACAGGAAAGGTTCTATCGACAGATGAGCTCGACTTATATAATCAACCCCTTTGTCGACAAGACAATAAAGCCAAAGAATCAATCCGCAAAGAAGCAGATATTAAAGAAATGCTACTCCTTACAGAATGTGGAATAGTCGATTATAATATCAAGGAAATGTTAGACCTAATTACCCAGATGATGAGTCAAAGACAAGTACCAATCTGGAAATCCTAAACCCTATCCCAGATACTGAAACCAAGACCCAAGCCAAAGTACAAGTGAATTACAAACCAAGACAGACTATGGAGTTAGTAGAAAATAGCTCGAAGAAAATTGTATCAAAGCGAACATAACAAGAAATGATTCCAACCGGAGATATTAAGGAAGAAATAATGAACAACTTATATCAAACTACAGCTTTAACACCTTAGATAAAAGAAAAAATATACAAAAGCACGATATGTATAACTTTATAGGATATTCCAAATGAAACCAGAGCAAACCAAATTAGAAAATGCCTGAGTTTCTATGGAAGGGCTATAGTCAAACACTTCATATACAATGGGAAAATGAAAGCAGCACAGATAGAGCTAACTTTCAGAAACCCCAAACGAAAAGATGAACTCCAAAATTCTTAGACAGTGCATTTTGTAAATGGTAAAATGCTAAGAGTCACGGGAGGTCTTCTAGATAAAGAAACACTTATAGAGAGAAGTAAATACAAATCAATTATAAAGAACCTTCCTAAAACTGCAATTGAAACCTTACTATTAAGGCAGCTAAGAAACATAAACGCAAAGGCAGTTGACATTTCAACGAATAGCAATGGTAACCAAAGAGGCACAGCATCAATATATTTTGCTACAAAGGAGAATCAAAACAGAGCAACAAGCCAGACAGTTTTCTATTTTAACACAAAGTTAGAATGGGCTGAGCCAAGTGGGAATGAAAACAAAAAGATATTTCGGTAATATAGTAACAAAAACAGAATACCAAAACCCAAGACCACTACAAAGAGACCCAAGGTAGAGGAAGACACCACAAGGATACAAGAAAAAAATTCAAAAAACTTAAAAAGAGAAATAGCAGAAGGGTCGAAATGAAAATTTACTGCCAAGAACATTCAGCTAACAAATAGTCTACCCAACAAAAAGAAAAGCTCAGAAGTACAGCAAGATACGAAAGTAGATAAAAATAGAGAAAAGAAAAAGGAGGCTATTCAAACCGGGCTGCTATATGAGATTATAAAAAGACTAGAGTTACTAGAAGAGCAGCAAAAAGGAGGCAAGACCCCCAATCGCTCCTAATTGGCGCTGTGGGCATTCTAACAAATAGTGGTATCCTGAATGAGAACCAGGTTCAGACACAGATGGTACCAGCATGTAGTACAAAACTGGTCAAACGAATCAACATAGCAACAC